AAATAAAAAGGAAAAAACAAAATCATTAAACGTCTCCTCCAGGGAATCGATCCCGCTACCGTCAAACCTACATTGGATTTGCAAGCGGCGCCTTAACGCGGTGCGCCACTGGATCACTCTCATTTACATAATAATAGACCACTTGACACTTTCACCGAATAGACTACCCCAATTTGACATTATACTTTCGATAGTTGCCTAGTTAGTGCAAGGGGTTATCCATCAGTGTCTAGGGGCCGGATAGCTTCTCCCTCACTGGCTTTTTAGTTAGCGCGAAGTTAGGACCAATTATCGGGATAGCATGGAAGAGCCGAAATCTCTAACCGGAATGTAAATCGATTCGCCGCCTCAGCTTCACAGAATGTCTCGGGGGAATCGTCCCAGCCTTTTTCGATTTTATGGTCATGGGTTCGAATCCCAATACTCAAGTTTTTTTCTTTTTTCATATTTCTTTTTTTTTTTGCTTTTTGTTGTTGTCTTTGATTAGCTTCCTACATTAATGTTTAATTACAATATCTGCATAAGCATTTAGTAATTACTTCTATATATTTTCTATAATATATTTTAAAGTGCGCTTTCATTGGCTTTTTATCATTAAACGTATAAAAAGTTTTCACAGCGCGGCGATTGCGCAACCGAGAATCAATTTTTAAAAAACAGAGTGGCCGAGTTATGTTTTCTATTCGTACGGACATTTATATATTCTAAAATTTTAAAGTAATTATATAAGATATCAATTTTAAAATACTATAATTAGTTATAATAGGTTTTTTCTTACTTAGATAGTATTTTTGGGATTTTGTAGATTTTAAAACTCCCGCTCATTTAGTGCATCGAAGACCTTAATTAAGCGGGAGCCTGCGTCACGCTAAGTGTGACAAGAAACTAAATCTTCTCGAAATAGAACGTTATAATATTAATATGAGTCGACATCTTTTTTTAGATTGCTAATATATAGTACATCGAAGACCTTAGTTGAGCAGGAGTCGAGCATCACTCTAAGTGGACAAGAAACCAAAGGAGGCTCGCAATAGAACGTTATATGAATCGAAATATTTTTTTATATTGCTAACAAAGATATAAAAGATTGTTTTTACCAAAACAAAACTAGCACTCATTTAGTATGTTAGTACATCGAAGACTTTGAGCGGGAGCCGATCATATATCCACTTCGCAAAAAAAAAGACGGTTCTCGGGAAAATGAAACACAAGAGATGACAATAATTATGCAAAAAAAAATTAATAAAAAGATAAACAATAAATAAAATAGAAATTAAAATACACAATCATTAAACGTCTCGTCCAGGGAATTGATCCCGCTAC